TGAGAAATCAATGGTTAACTTCATTCCTAAACCAGACACCTTTTTGTGGTTCCAGCTTGTAACACTGGAATATGTGCTGTCTAGCAAGAAGTTCTAGGCGATAAAAGCTGTCACCGTATTTCCCTGCTGAAGTGCAAAAGCCAGAAAGAGAGTGAAGAAAAGGCCTTTTTTTTTATTACTTCATCGTTTAAAGATATTTTTAACCCTTGTTTTTTTTCTTCTGATGTTGTTCTGGAGGTTGTAAGATAGGATTGAACTTTGAGAAATTAGATTTTTTTTTTTAAATGTAAAAAATTAAATACTGATTTTAAATCAGGAGAAATAAATTAATTTAGATTTATTATACTGTGTATTAAAACTAGTGGTAATGACTGATGTAACCAATTACTTATTTCACTTTCTTGTCTTCTGTCAACAATATGAGAGTTTTCTTTCTGAATGTATGCAGCAAATCATTCTTCCATGTTATAGTATGAACTGTTAGGAAAAAAAAGAGGAAAAAAGTAAAAAATAAGTGCTATTTTCTTATTTTCTTGAGTTGGGGCTTTGTAAGAGTCTTCCCATGCTTCAACAGTATGCTGGTGATAGAACCAGGTTATTTTTGTTGGCCCTTACAATCAGCCCCCTGGAAAGGAAATCAGTTCCTGCAAAAGGAAAATTAACAAAACACAGATTTTCATATGCCATGGATATAAGTCACATCCCTTGAGTGTGTTGTCTTCAGGCAGCAAGCTGATGCCATTCTAAATAGTAACAGTCATAATTTGCATTAGATTCTTAATGAAAAACTGAATGAACAGTTCATAAGTGTGTGGGGCTTTTTCTGGTTTGAGGAGCGGGTTAGTATATAGATTAATAAACTTTACATTTTTGGAAACTGAATTTCTTCTAGTGCCTGTGCTGTTTCTAATTGCAGCTGTCTCAAGCCACCACTGATTTTGTGAGCTTCATTATCTTTAAATAATGAAGATAGATCTCTACCATGACTAATCACTCCAGAAGTTCACATACCTCTTGAGCCCAAGTGGAGTTCTCAACACATTATTGTTAGGTACTATTTCTATCATGGTCCTACTCCATTATTTTGTTACAGTGTTTTGCTCTACTTAAATTAGTAGAGCTTGAATCTTAACCACGCAATTCTATGTTAGTCTGTCTGAGTAGTGCTCAGATAGGAAAGGATATTTCAGGATTGAAAATTAGTTTTTCCTTATTTATTCTGTGCTGCTACAGAATCTGAGGCTTATCTGTCCAGTGTCTTCCGATTGCATTATTTAAGTTCTTTTTTTTTTTTCCCCTACACTTTTGTCTCATGTTCACCTGTCTAATTCAGTTTTCTAAGCAGTATAAGGTTAATACACTTTAACACTCACGTCTGTGAAGCTGTTCCATTTAGGAAAGCAAGGTTCTTTCCCTTTAGCTCCTAGTGAAGGTTTTATAAACAAAGCAGTCTGGGGAAATATAAATGTATTCTTGTTCATCCTAAAATTAGAGGTGATTCCAAAGTGTGTCTGATGAGCAAAATAGAATCTTTTTTTAAGTTTTATATGTTGATTGCACTTCATGTATTAATGCCATAACTTAAATTAGTTTGGTTTAGGCCAAAAGGAAAAGTACTTTTAAATTCTGACTCATTTAGCAGAAGCTTAACCTTGGTAATCAATCTAGTAGTCGCTTTCTTAAAGAGCAATTCCTTTGTGCACGTTAGTTAGGTTGTCTGTCATTGAGTTACTCCTCTTACAAGGAATATCTCTCCCTGTCACTATCAACAAATGTAACTAGCAAGGTTTAATGTAAAAAAAACCTTGAAGATTAAATAGCAAGCACAATCTGGCTAACCTTACTTATTGCCCTTTTTTTCCCCAAGGTTATTGGTATTGGCTTCTTTACTACTTATATTTTCAGTCTCAGAAAAATAGCTAGATTTTCCAGAGCAAATGCTAACAGCCATTTTATCTGGCAATCCTAATCCCATTTATGGCCTTGCACTACAAATTTTCTTGCTAGTAGTAGTGAAAGTTACAGGGTGGTGTGGGTACGCCACGCATAGCGAGAGATTTAGGAACATGAGCTAAGACTCTCTGTACTACTAGGGAATCTCTCATTGAGATAGAAACTCTTAATGATGGGTGGGTCAGTAAAAAGCCAGGAGGAAGAGGAGAGGCCAAGCCATTGGCAGACTACGGATTTTATGGCCTTGACGTGAAGGCTTGAATTCCTTTTCACAGCTGTTGCAGAAAGATTGCAGTGTCCATCTGGGGTTTAGAGGAAGGCAAGAGGAGCTGGAACAAAACTGGCTCTTCCTCATTTGTTCAGCTGCAGGATTCATTCTTCAGAATAGCAGCATGTTGGAGAGCCCTGGGTTATGCGAGAGTGTCAGAAAGCCATCTGACTGCCCAGAGTTGGCAACTCTGTGAAGAGAACCTCGCTGGAAACTCCTGAGGAGCGGCAGGCATGCCACACTAATGGCAGCTGCAAGTTGGTGACTGCTGGGAGCTGCCTGCAACCAAATATAGGACAGCTTTCCATGTGAGAATGTTCTTATGAGCCATCAGCCTGTTTACGTGCAGAACCTGCTGCCACTAGTGAATCTGCAAAAGTATTGTCTTTTCTTGATGATGCTCAGCCGATTTTATTCCTGGGTTCTAAACCCCTCCAACAGCTAATTGCTCAGAAGTGCCCTGGACTGGGTAAATGTCTGAATAAGAACTAGATGTGCTTCTTTTCAATTACTTAGTGAAGGAGAAAATTTTGAATGTTAGTGTCTAAATTTAGCCTTTTCTGTCTCCTGAGTACACTCAGCAATCAAATAATCTAGATTGATTTCCTAGTGTCAGCTCTGTGAAAAAGAAATGTCTGTGTTAGAAATGTCTGTGTTAGAAATGTCTGTGTTAGAAATGTCTGTGTTAGAAATGTCTGTGTTAGACACTTAGGCTTGCAAAACTGGCCTCTGTTACTACATGGTTGGCTGCCTTTTTGCACAAATAGTGTGGCAAACTCTGGAAGGACTAGCATTTAGCCAATTTGATAGAGAAATTCTTATTCCTCAGTATTCGGTTTTTTGGTCTCAGTGTCAAGACTTCAATAATGTTTTCTCCCATAATGGGTTGATACAGGCTTCAGATCCCATCAGTGTGAAGCTAGATCGCCCAAAACGAAATTGGTCCTCTTCTGCATGTCACGATGCGTGCTTAGGATCCCAGTATTGTCTATACTATTAAGACCACTTTTGAACTTACGGTGTTGGGCAAAGTCACCAAGCTGTGGGTTAATTTTGTTCCCTTTAGCTTTTATCCACTCAAAGTGGGAGGCCGTTGCACCTCAAAAGTCTATCTCTTCAAACCATCAAGTGTTAATCTGTTTACTCTTTACAACAGCAGTAGCTTTTTATAGCTAGTCTCGCTTCTTGTGGTGCTCTGTAACTTAAGCAATTAGAGTTGACGGAATGACATTGAAAAGTGTGTGAAACTGTTGACCTACAAAATATGGAAAATGCTCCAGGCTTTGGCGTCACTGGTTTTGCATGGTTATTCTTTCTGCAGAATTGTTGTTTTGTTATTTGATCCCCAATAAGTAGCACAGCCAATTCTAGCTAAGTTTGGCCTTAAATATCCTGCTGTAATCTCTTCCATGCCCAGTATGTCAGAAGAGATCTGCACATTTTTTAGGATCCCTTTCCAGTAGGGCTTGTCAGTGCTGGCCACCTCCTCCTTGGTTGAGGTCTAAATTCCTTTTCAGTTCATAAAATGTGGACCTGAGATGATCTTCTGAAACAGTCAAATAATTATTACTTATTTTTATCTAATGCTTTTAACTAATGCTTTGTTGACACTTTAGGCCAAAATATTCTAATGTGTTTTCCAAACCTTGCCTCTTAAAATCAGACAAAATCTCCTCCACTTAATAGATTTCCAGAAACAAAATTCTAGAATAGTGGCAAGAGAGACTCCACAAGTCATCTAATCCATGAGCAGTTTCACCTGTGTAAGTCTTGATAGAGGTTTGAGTAATCTCCAGCAATGGAGGCCCCACAGCCCTCCCATGCAATCAGTTCTACTACTTCACTGTTCTTATCATTAGAAAGTGCTTTCCAATATCTAACTTCCATTTCCTTTTCCATACTCTTCCAGTTACTAACCATTCATGAAGAAACTACTCTTCAATCATTTAAATCCCATAAGGCAGCTATAAAGTAGGAAGTTGATACAAGTAGCAAATTCAAACGGTTTGTTTATTTTTTAACAGGTCCCTGTATCTGGTATTTAGATTAATATGTCAAATTATCTTTTTCCTTTTGAAGGTAAAAATTCATGGTGATTAAAATGAGTCATGAACCTAGAAAACACAGCATACAATGGTTTAAATTTTGTTGGGTGTCCCTACTAAAATGTAGTAGGAGTTGCTGAATTTAAAAGCATAAAAATGAGATCCTGTATTTTTTAATAAAATGGCAACAAAATGGATTTGCCTCTACAAAATCCATTCCAGGCTGTGTTAATATACATTTATAGTGTCTGAATGGAAAACCTAATTCTGTCTTTATCATAATAACCAAACAGTTTTATATAAACTAATGTCCAGTTGTAAATCCATCTTTTCTTGGAAAAAATAGTTTGAAAGCACAGATTTAATCTGATAAATGATGCAGCAATTAACTGCTTTCATTACTTGCAAGTCCAAGTTAATAGCTGGATTCAGTGTTAATGAAGTTTTTTCATTCGAAAGAGATGCTTTTCCTCTCTATTGCTTTTTAGCGCTGATAAATGTGTCACAGGAAACAGCCTCTAAACGAAGGAAAACCATGATTTTTCATGTATCATAGTGTATCAAGTGGAAAATTAAATGGTGCAGACAATGAAAGGAACAGATTTCTATGATAACATAATCTTAAAATAAGAACAGAAAGCTGTTATTTTGCTCTGAGGTCTGTTTCAGCTGTCAGCTGAGAAATGGCAATGCATCCTTTGCCACAGGTTAACCAGAAGTCTTGATGCAGAAGAATGAGCTTCTTTAGGCAAGTCAGACTTCTACTCTGGAAGAACTGGATCCTCCGGAAAAGACAAAAGGTAAAGTATTAGTCTTTGGATTTCAGCTTTGGACCATGCACTCCACTGGATGAAGTGACTGGTACATTTATCAGCACGTAAAAATCACGAATTCCTCAAAGAATCAAATGTGATCTTTGTATGGGCCTGCTGTCTGGGATCTTGTCTGGTGCAGTCTGCAAAGCTGCTTTTTACAGACTAAGCATAGAATACTTGTATAATGCTATTTTGACAAATAGTATTATGTACTAGAAGAGTTGTGGGTAGTAATATTTTTTTTGTATTTCCACGTAAAAAGATCTGCTGTTAGAAAACATTGTGGGCACCATTCAGCACAGGGAGGTTTGTTTCCTAATTTTAGATTTGCTCCTCACACCCAGCTGCTCTTAGACATGAATCCAATTAGGGCCCTAAAGTTCACACAGATTTTATCTTTTTTAATACGGCTGAATGACATAAGTAAAGTGAAAATCAGAGAAGTAGTTTAAATCCTTTCAAATCCTCTTAGATCTTATGATACTTGGTCTCAGAGCAAATTTATTTATTACTTTCCACCTTATTTCATCATTGCTGTTTTTTCTGGTTTTTTTTTTACTTTTTCTTTTTTTTTCTTTAAGCCAAATTTTCTTAAAGTCAAACAAAACCTCAAACTAGGGTCTTGGTCATCTGATGTACTACAACTACTTCTGTCCAGCAAAGGAAGTCCCTTTGCCTGGTTTCCAGGCAAAGGAAGTCCCTATGAGGTCCTATAGAGTTAGACTACCTGTTTCAAACTAAAAATAATAGAAAAGTACATTAGGGCATCTGTGAGGCCGTAACAGTCATGCAAACAGTTTTGCCATAATAACAGAGATCACTAGGGTCAAACTGAACCATGGGATGAGTTGAAATACTTACCTATGCTGACCCTATTTTAGTCATTAGGAATGACTCACATGCTGAAATTTCCAGGATCAAAGGATTATCTGATTTTCTTAACAGATAAATTGAAGGTCCTCTCTTTCATAGCTTCCCAGCAGACTTTCTCCCACAGTCTACATTGCCATCAAGAGCTGATGCATGTAACGTTGCCAGCTCATGATTTAATACAGTATGAAAGTCACCAATCCATACTTGAGCTAAATTACACCAAATACGAGGACCCCTTTTTGAAGCTGGACTTCAGTTACTGATTGTCAAGGAGCTGTAGTAGTTTGGTTCTCAAGTTCAGAAAAAAACCCAACCAAACAAACAGAAAATCCACATCTTTCTTATCTTCAAATGAGTATACTGAGAGAATTGGAAGCCACTGTTTTTTAAGTTTTAGCAAATGGATCTTTATGTAATTCTTCGGTATTTTCAGTGTATGAAATACTGCTTTATTTGGGCAAATCTGCTCAGATATGTGACCCAAAGTGCCTGCTTGGGCTTCAGGAATTCTCTTTTTTCTTGTTTATTTTTTCTTATAGAATTTTCAAAAATGCTAACTTGGTGTTTCCTGGTGTTGCCAGAGATTCTTTTCCGTGATGATCATTCCTAGCTTGTAAGCACAGTGATGTAATCCACAGAGAAATATTTTCTTCACTCTGAAGAGTAAAACATTTTACAAAAGAGTCAGTAAAATAATTTCCTTTTCTAAGTATATAAACCTACCTGCTTATTTGTCCACACAGAGAAACAAGGTAGCCAAAACAAAAATCCATAATGTCAAAAGTAGCTATAAAATGTGTTTTGGGAAAATCAGCGTGTTTTTTGTTAACCATCATGCAGTACCATAAATGGAGACATATTCAATCTTCTACTCAAGTTCATCATTTAGTCTAATCTAATTCACAAGAGGAAAGACTTCATTACAGAGTTAACAGTTGATCCACAGCCAATTTAAGCTTGTCACATTTATATGGTCGTATCACTGTGCTTGGTCCATTACAGCTCTGTCTGGATACTACATTTCTCTGTGCATGTTGCTGGGATTTCTGGCTGTTTATCTTGTGGTTCTGCAGGCTTATGGGCTGCTCTCTGATCCTTCTAGTGAGTTCTGAGACACCTGTGTGTCCTCAGGAAAAGGATCACAGGAAAGAATCAGAGGGCTAATGGCACTTGGTCTGTCCTTACCTCATGACACATTGTGTACCAGCTTGAAAGAAAGCTTCCCTTGTGCTTTAGCCTTCAATCCTTTCCAAACTAGTTAGCTCAGACTGAAAGGACTTACTGAATTCAAGTCTGAGGATTTTGTATTTCCTGGGAATGAAGTAAGAATCGACATCTGAGCAGTTAACCCAGATTAAGTCTGCAGCAAAGACAACAACCGAGGAGTTTCCCCAGTTCTCACCCCTCTGAGTTTATGGGTGAGTAGTGCTTGTCCCAAATGTCTTATCAAATGGATGGCAATGGGTGTTAATCAGACCTTGTGGACCCCTGCTGAGAAGGGTCTGTAACACTGTACTCCGAGCTGTGCACGACAGCTGTCAAGGAGAAGAGCTGTACAATGGCAGGTTTCCTTCTATAATAATTGTGTCATCTGCCCTTTGCTGCTGGTAAGATTTTGCATGCATAACTTCCTAGGGGTGGGTGTGTGTGTGGGGGGGTGGTTGTTGTTCTATTTTAAAAAAGCCTTAAGAGGAAAAAGTGTGAAATAGGAAATGGTTGCCTGGTGTAAAGCTTTCTACCCTTTTGCTGTAAGCATAAGCTGTGCTTAACTAAAGCTATTAGACGAGGTTATAGTGGAAAAAACAGGGCAGCTCCAAAAACCTGTTCTTAATTATGCTGTGGAGTATCTTTTGCCCTGCATGGCTCAGTTTGGAAAAAAAAAAAAAACACATTCACACCACATCTTGTCTCTGGCTCTGCTCCTGTACGCGTTATTGTTACATATTTGGTGCCTGGTCAGGGAGGCAGGAGCAAGGGAAAGGAGGCAGGGAGGGCTTTCCTGTGCATGTGCTGCAAACCCAGTTCTGGAGAGAGTCTGTCCTGGCTCTTGTAAGGAAGGAGAAAAAAAGTGCCACGTGGCTGGACACAAAAATCCCATAGCTGGTCCTCAGAGCCCAAAGCCTGTGTCACAGGATCAAAGGTTTGTAGTTTCAAACCTCTGCCAAAACACACAGGGGCAGTAAAACAAACTGAAACACAGGAGTAGAGGAAAGAGACTGAAAACCAGGCAGGATGTTGCTCTGTGGTAAAGCAGTGCCCTTGATTTTCTGTCATGACTGGGAGTTGGTGACTGCTCTAAGTGTATTGAAAGATCTGGGCAATAAAGTGGCCTTTGATGGGGTCTTCTGTGTTATTGAATAAGGTGTTTGATCCTAATGTATGCATTTCTACCTGTATTAGAAACTTAATGTTGAAATGAATGATGACAAAAAGAAGCAAAAATAGAGATCAAAGAATGTAAGTTTATGCTGAAGTCTTTTACCTTTGGGTAAGCACAGTGCACTGACAGCCTACTAATGAGCCCAACATTGCGAAACTGGATAAACTCCCCCCCACACACTTTTTCTCTCTTGCATCTAATCCTTTTTTCCTGTATTGTTATAGAGCCATCCACTTTGTATAAAAACTATTTAGACATATCTGGTCTATCTGGCAGTTTAGTACTAGCTGTTGCCTCTTTTTACCTTGGTCAGGATGCTTAATCATTTCTTTAGAAGAGGTGGAGAAGCCACTGAGTTAATGGTGATACTTCATGGGGCTCTGAAATCCTTGCTATTTCTGGGTGTCCTTTCCAAATGGTGAAACAAGCAAGGGATAACCATGGGCACATGCTGCACTGGGCATTGCTGCTGTGAGAGGGGGCCTCAGCCCTCTAGTCACTTAGTGACTCTATACATGGTTCATCTGTAAAATTTATTTTGAAGTGATTTTTTTCCTTTTTTTCCAGCTTCGTTTTCTGGTGGAGCTTGTATGGCCTCTCTCATTATTTCTTGCCCTTGTCTGGCTGAGGAAAGCTAATCCACTGTATCGCCAACATGAATGTAAGAACATTTAAGATGTTTTAATGCTCTGACTTGTGCTAGATAATGGCTAGAAGTTCTCAGACAGAGATACTGGAACCTGTTTGCCAAGTATTATTCTCTAGTGGCAAAAGAACAGACTTTGCTTCAAGTAGTTTAGTTATTTATAGCCATATATCGTAAGAATTACGAGTGAGGAGGGGGGAAAAAAAAAAGTCTAGTTTTCCTGAGAGATGCTTTGTGGTCAGACTTACATGAGGTCTCAAGATTCTATCAAGTTGTAGATTTCTGTAATTCTGTTACTGAGAAAGTACTGCCTTGCTACTTTTTTAAAAAAAAAGTTAGTTCAGAATTTATTTCAGTTGAAAATAGACATATTGCTTATATCGGTGACTTTTTTTTTGCCTAGTAAAAGAGAAACCTATATGACTTCCATCACGTTCCTTCTGTAGTGAGCCAACCCATCATGCTATTTAGATTCACACAGGCTGCATTAGAAAAGACGCCTAACCATTTATATTTTGTGTTTCCGTACTCTAGGTCACTTCCCAAACAAGGCAATGCCATCTGCAGGAACACTGCCATGGTTACATGGCATCTTCTGTAACATGAACAACCCCTGTTTCCGCAGCCCAACGCATGGAGAGAGTCCAGGCGTTGTGTCCAACTACAAGGATTCCATGTAAGCAGAGCTATATGTGTGAGAATGGGTTGCAGTAATACAGGCCTGCTAGGCAAATGCTAATAGCCTGCTCTTGGCACCTGTTGAGCATTCATGGGCATGAGTGATGCAAGGAGAAAGGATGGAGTATCCTCAGCCTGCTTAGAGAGGTCCCTCAGTACACTGAGGGATATTTTAAAGAATTGTTCTGTGGTGTGAATGAAAAGGGAAAGGTGAGCATTTAAGAAGACACAGGGCTGCAAATACTGGAAGACAAAAACTTTCAGTTCTAGCACATTGGTTTCATTCCAACAATGGTCGGCAAAGTTGAAACAGAGCTCATGATGGTAGGTTTGGTCCTTTTTGAGAGAGAGTTCAGTTGTACTAGTCTCTAGGGAGCACGTGTTCACTTAAAATCCATCCTTTTTATTGCCTACTGCTTAGTGAATGTCGCAGGACAAATCTTTTTGATATGAGTATGGAACCCCTAAGCTTTCTTTTCTCATCACTTGAGTTGTCCCTTCTGAATGAGAGCTCTGATGAAGTAGCAGAAGGAAAATCTGCACTGCCACTTCTTATGTAGCACCTGTTTTGGCTATATACTTGTGAGACTTTAATCAGCATAGTGACCTTCAGATACTAAGCTTATTAACAAAATAGGAGGATGGGAGATTTCCGGACTGTTAGTCAAAAAGAGCTGTGGGAGTGCTTCATTGCATTGTTTGTTATAGCTGAGTCATGAAAGACAGCATAGCCGACAAAGAGCCCTAGAGTAAAAACCTGTTAGAATAGCTATAAAAAGTGCTCCAAATCTCCCTTTGCAAATAGTCCGCTTTGGAGCATCCAATGATGAAAATTAATGAGCTAACAATGTCAAGGCCATTAAAGCTCCAGTCACATGAAAGTCCATAGCTTGGAGTTAACTTAGCATTTGACCTTTTGTTCCTAGTAAACAAGATTTAAAATAGTCAGCTGGACTTTTTTTGTGGGGTACAGTCAATCACACAGTGAAGCTAGAGGCTTCTGTTTTCTATACATTCTGGCTTTTCTAGGTTGCTTATTACAGAGCAAACTGTCCCTTTGTGAGTCAGAGTAAATTCAGTGCATTACAGAGGAAGCAAATACATTGTGTTTTCTGAAAGAATTTAGTCCTTCCTGTTTGCTGTTTCCTGTAAGCTAAAATAAGTCATGAGGACTGAGATATACCATTCCATGTATGGAAAAACGTAACACCATTAAAGAAATGTAATGGCCTCCCCTGCTGCGAATAAGAATTTTTTCATACTTGTTTATAAACACAGCACCTGATTGCATCCTTGCTTGAACTGTATGTTCTGACCCAGAATCAGTAGGTGAACAGCTGCCTGTGACAGTTTGTCGCTCCTGTTTCCTGCCTCTCCTAGAAGAAATGTTTTGAAGGGACCTAAAAGCCACCCTTACATTGCAGAGGACTGAGCTGGGAGAGGGAGGAGGATTCTGTGTCTGGGTGATTCCATGTCATTTACCTGGCTGAGCAGGGCTGCATGTGCCCAGAGTGCCCCATCCAACTGCCAGAGCTGAGCCTGGGCCAGAACCAGAGCAGATTTGCACCACAGCTGTGAGCTGAATGCTGTCTGGGGAAGATCCTGTCTCCCAAGCAAGATCAGCATGGCTAATGAAGAAAGTGTATGAGAGGCCAACCTTCTGCAATACCAGTAGCCCTCTTAAACCTTCTGCGGACTTCCAAATCTAACTGAATCCCACACCACCTGAAACTACTCTGTGGTCACCACAAAACTGAGCTTTGAGTTTCAAGACTGAGGACAAAATAATTTGGTTTTTTCTCACCCCTAACACAGAGTCAACTTCACCTTTTTTTTATGTGAAAGGTTCTTAAGAGTCATCAGTTTTAAATTATTGTTGGTTCACTATTTCTTCTTTCAGCCTTGCAAGGGTATATAAAGATGCTCAGGAGCTCTTACTGGAAGCCCCTGAAATCCATGACCTTGGCAGAATCTGGGAAGAACTGAGCGTTATGACTCAGTTTATGGAAACAATGAGAACTAATCCTGAAAGAATTGCAGGTAATTGTTTTGTCTATATCCTTTAGACTATTGAATTTTTCCTTCTGAGAGCGAACTAGTAGTTACTCTGTAGACTGACAACATTATAATGTATTTCACATGTGCCTGTTACTCTGCTTACTGTTAGAGAGGGTAAGTTAAACTAGTCCAGTGTTGTAAGAAACACCTTTCATTTGAGAGAAAGGAGGGAGGCATTCAGCTCTACTCTACAACCATCTTCCTTAAATAACAGTAGACAAAACTCAAAACACAAAAACATGGATATCTCACCACCCAAAGTAAAACACGTGGATGAAGATATTTCATTGATTATTATTACAGGAGAGGCAGCAGTAAGAAAGCATCACTGGAGGATGCAGAGGAATGGAAAGCTAGGAGTATACCTGAATATATACTGGAAGCATAACACAGAGAGGAGCTTAGAGATATTTTGTTTCAAGTGTTAGCTGAAACAGGTTTGGAACACTGAAGAAAGAAACACTTTCTTCTTGCTTTGATGATGTGTTTAGAGAGAGAAGGCATTGCACACTTCCTACGAACAGGATTGCAAATTATATGACTCCATTAATTTTTACTTAAAACAGCCTCCCAAACTCAAAACACAATCCTGGGGAAAAATAGAAAATGGACTAATAATAATTTTTTAAATTTAATATTTGGGCTTTAAGAACAGAATTTGAAAATATACTCCTAAAACTGATGGCACAAAAACGGACTGTCTCTGAGAATTGATCTGTCCCATTCTCAAGTCCTTTGCCACAGGAATAATATTCTTATTAAAATCAAATAGTCACTCTCCCTATATTTTTAGTAAGATGTGTATAAACCATCTGATACACATGCTCCACTATCTCATCAGGGGTTTCTAACTAGAAGTAACAAAGGGACTATCTCATCGTAAATAACAGTGAGACAATCAAAATGCCTCAGAATGCAAGCAACAAGAACTTGAGTATAATCTGAGCTGTGGTTTGTACACAGCTGTAGAAACCAAACCTGCCTATTTAGAGGTGAAGAAAAGCATGACACGCCATGGGTTTGCAACATATTGCTAAGGGACCACACCCCATGGTTTGGGAAGTTGCCTTTGCATCCCGTATCAGCTTTACTCAGCAGCTGGAAAATAGAGTACATTCCTGTGAAATACAATGTTAATAGTCTTTCAGAATCTGTGGGGTTTTTGAATGTGTTTTACTTTAAAAAAAAAAAAAATATTTAAAGTTTGAAATAACCTGTTTCATTAAAAAAAGTAACAAAGTCAGTTCTGAAGCTAAACTAATAAAATGTGAATTGCCACCTTTTTCCATACAGAAAAAGGTACTGCAGAATTGACTATTTAAGTTCTCTCTATTGCCTGTAAGTGACAATCTTAACAGAATATTGTTATAGCTGCAAAGGTAAGCAATGAAAAAATTAACCAATGTCAGACTTAAGATTGCTCCTTCTCCTGGTTCCTTAAACTGGATCCACTTCTTGAGTCCTCCTTCCTTGTCCCATTCCCCCCTTGCAGTGACACATTTGATGAGATGTGTTCCTGTAGTGTGCTTTTTCCTCTACAATGCCTGGGTGCCAGGAAAGTCATCAGTGAGAATATGGGGGACAGGCCCCTATTATTGTTTTCAGTGTTTACTGCTTGAATAAATACATGGAGGAGCAACTGAAGAAGTTCTGCTCAGCCCCTGCAGCCCTAGGACAGAATATGCTTATTGCAGATGGAATTGTGGAAGTTAGTTGTCAAACTCTGAGAAGACTGTACTTAACTCACAAAATGGAGACACACAGCAGCAAATTTCTGCATGTTTATGTGGAGATGTCTAAAGCTATGCTCCCCATGTCAGTATGATACATGCTGCTCCTATCAGTTTCAATTGCCTGTTCTAAAGACTGGAAAAACTAGTGCTTTTCGAGCATTCTTTACCTAAGTCTGTTGATGCTATGTGAACTACCTTTAATAAAGGCTGTAGTATTCAATGGACATGAGCAATATTTACTTTCTAAGCTTTCACTTGGACCATACTGAGCCAGAATTCACACTGATACTGATTTGTAACAGAGACAAGTTAAAAAAGATTGGCATTAAGAGCAACAGTATTTTGAATATTGTTGTAGATGGGATTAGGGAAATTTGGTGGCCTCTCACATATGTTTTGTTTAACAGTGGGTAGCCTCATTGGCTTGTCTGAAGATTTGCAAGTTCTTAGTTCAATAGTTGGTAAGCTAGTTTAATATGACTATTAAACTGCAAACAATTTATGCTTCTCCAAGGAAAATTAGTTTTTCTTGTGAAAGATTTTCAAGAGGCCATTTTTGCAGAACTATAGAATAAGGTTAACTAGCTAAGATTAATTGACAGCGAGTGATAAATTAGTGTAAATGTAAAGGGTTGACTAAAGTTATTTACACAAGGCCCGGAAGAAAGAATACTAACAACAGTAGCACTCTTGAATCTGAACATTTAAAATAAACCATTACCTCAGGAAAAAAGGCAGAGACTTTCAAATGCAGTCGAGGATGTTTTCAATGCTTCCATTGCTGAAGTTCTAGTCTGAAACAGCTTTGAGAGATCGGATATGCAGAGTCAGAACACTCAGCATTTTCTGATGATCATTCCACAACAAAGGATTAAAATAATTTTGAATTTCAAAAATCGTTTTGGACCCCTTTAGTCACTACTAAGCGTATGAGCCAAAGCACATACCTTTTGCAGGTTTAAGCCAGGGTAGGAGTTGTTCTTTAACTTCCTTTGGTATCTCACTGATCTCTGCACTCCTTTCTTCATCCAGGAAGAGGAATACGAATTCTAGACATTTTGAAAGATGGGCAGACTCTCACTTCCTTCTTGCTGGAAGATGCTGGCCTCCCAGATATTGTTGTTTTCCAGCTTATTAATGCTCAAGTGCGCCCTGAACAGGTGGGTAGAGTACAACAGCTACCAAGCTGTTATCTGTGTGGAACGCATTCTCTTGAGTTGTATATGCAAAGTAGCGGCAGCGAGGGCCTTGTGCCCAGAATACCTGCTGCCTTATAGGCTGTTTGTACAACTTCTCCCTTTGTTTTTTGTGAATCTAGAGGAAGAGGTGTTTGGTTTGTCTTTAAAAAACATTTTGAATATGGATTAAATATAGATATTTAGTTCAATGCTGTTGTTGCTCCCAAATAATGAGCGTCAAGAAACGATACTACCAAGAAATGCATCCGTCCCTATGATTAAAGACTTGTCTCAAAAGCATAAGGCAGCTGTGCATCTTTTTGAGACAGCAGTCCTGATGAATAGCAGGAGAGAACTATTTGAGGTTCTTAATTTAACATTGAAATTCTCTGCCCCAATGTCAGCAGAGTAATATGGTGGCTTTACGGCATTGTCTCATGTGAATAGGTGGGAGTGGAGAAGCAGACCCACTTTATTAGATTCTGATTGAATAATAGATCAGCTCAGAAAATTCAGAGTGAAAACTGCAGGTCAAATCCCGCCTGAAGCAGCTAAGCAGGGGACTGTGTTTGACCAAGTCCAGGCTGTCTTTGCCTCTGCATGTAGTGGTGGCTGGGAGCTCTGCGAGGAATGCTGTATTAAAGAATGAATGTTGCTGAATCAGAACTCTGGAACAGTTTCTACACTGAGTTAGTATGTGGGTGGAAGCAAGTGAATAATTGAGGCTGAAAGACACAATTCCTCTTTTTCACTGCCACATAAAACACAAATGCTGGAACTGTGTGTGGCCAGAAAGAGGGAGGGCATTAATGAACTTGTATGCAGTCCCTTTTGTGCATCACAGGTTCCAGCTGGTGTGGCTAGTAGCCAGATTACTTATCTGCTGTATTCTTGATTAGTACCAGGGGAAACCCTCCCCTCTTCTCACTTTGTCATGAAGCAATACCACAAGACCGTACCAAAGCCAGTGTCAATTGATACATCCTACTTATTTTCACACCTCCGTATCAGCTGAGATGGTGAAAATTTGCTTCCTTGCTGCTCACGACAAGAAGAATATGTACAGATATCCTGCTGGGCTT